TGAGACAGTAGAAATTTGTTAATAAACAGATTGTGCAACACTGCTTATACAGCATTAGATGTATTTGCATATTAGGCATTTTGCTAAATTAGTATGCAAGAAAAATAGGCTGGAACTGCTCGCAGTGCTCCTGGCAAAGTGTGAATGCCGTCACCTGTTAAAATAAACGACTTAAAGGGATAGTACACCCAAAAAATGTTATTCTGTCACAATTAACTCCCCCTCTTGTCATTCCACAACCATATAACTTTCTTTTTCTTCTAACTTTTTTCCCTCCAAACATGCATGACTTTCGTTCTTTCTATGATATTTAGAAAAATGTTGGAGTCCAAACAACACTGGACCCCACTGACATTAATTGTATTCTCGCAGACACACACACACACACACAAAAAAAACTTTTTTTTAAGAAAGTCATACAGGTTTGGAATGGCATGAGGGTGAGTAAATGATGACAGAAATGTTCATTTTTGGGTAAGGTATCATTTTAAATGTTCCAGAGGCCTTAGGCATCAACGTGTGTGTGCATGTGAGAGATATAATGCGAGTGGCGCAGAGATTGTCGAAAGCTCTTTGAGCAGCGAGTGGAACGGAGCCAGTCCTGAGAGTAATGCAGAAGGGAAGGGAGGCGGTTTATCCATTAAAGAAGTGGAGTTTGAACTGCTGCGGCAGCAAACCAGCCAACCAGACTACTGACCCATTCCCCAAACAGAGCTCAAGTTCAAGCTACGCTTAATGCGCCGTTTCCCAATGAGAATATTTCTTTTGCACTAGTTATCTGGTGATATTCATTATATGCTAAATTAATTGCTGAATAATCGTTTTAAATCCGTGCACAGTAGCAGTCTTTCACTAAAATAAATCAAACTTAAAGGCCACACCGACCAAGACAATAACTAACCCTATAATGATAACGATATTAGCGTTTTTAAAAGTGCCGTGCATGCTGAAATTTAGTTGTTTCCCACTTTAAAGGGGACCTGTTGTGCAAAATTCACGTTTACATGGTGTTTGAACACAAATATGTGTCGGTAGTGTGAACACAATCACCCAATAATGGTAAAAATCCACCCACCCACGCAAAAGCCTTCTGTGGAAACGGCCCCATGCTGTTTCTCCAGTTTTGTTGTTGCCAGAGTATCCGAGGCACGAGCTGTAAAGGCACAGCCCTCTTCTGGAAAGGGGGGTGGGGAGTAGCTGCTAATTTGTGTTTAAAGATACACAAATAAAAATTCCATGTTTTTGCTTAAACCCAAAAAGGGGCATTTTGGGCTTGGTATAATAATTGATCTGTGGGGTATTTTGAGCTGAAACTTCACAGACACATTATCTTACTTCTTGTAAAAAAAGGAGCATAATAGGTCCCCTTTAAATCCTAAAGCTCTTTAAAAATTGTTATAAAAGTGATTATAGTTGTGGTGTGGAGTCTGCTATTCTTTTACATTTAGAAAGATTTTTAAATATCCTTATCGTCCTTGGTGTGTGTGAACCTGAGTGTGAGCTCCATATTCTCACTATACCATACATACAAGACTGATGTATCAAATGATAGAACAAAACAGATATATGCAAACCTTTTTAGATTTTTAAAAAATAGTTTGTTAGGCTTCTATAAACTCTTCCATTTTTTGTCTAATAAAAAGATCTTGTGTACATTGATAAACACTTTGTGCATGCATGTTCTCAGTGTTAATATTAATAACGTAATATTTATCAGCCAGATTGGTATTGGATGATCACAATATTAAAATATTTGTTATCTCTATCTGTAACTTGCATTCGAGAAGCATGTCTTAAGTGAATGTGCTGGTGCTTTGGACATCTGTGATGATCTGAATTCAGGTGCAAAAGCATGCAATGGACGGAGATATGCATGCTTTCATTTCCTCAGTCACACACCGTCCATCAAAACAACACTCGACAAGACCGCTGATGCTGCACAGTGTTTTGTAAGTCATTTACATAAGGTAAACATTGACAGACGATTGGACAACTCGTAAAAATTAGCAGATGTGGAAGCCTAAGACATATCAACTATATGCCAACATGTGCTACCACCATCAAAATAGCAATCATTCACCAGCTTGTAGGCGAAGCCGTTACGGTAAAGCGAGCTGCACAAAGCCTGTTGAGTCAAAGTCAAGTCAGGGAAAAGCAGACGGCAAAGGGGAGCCACAACAAACACTTCCTGGCTTTCATTTAAAGTGAGAGTGAAGCAGCAGGAAGGCAGTGTGTGTTTAATGTACACACACAGTTTGGCCCACTTTCTGTTTATGTGTGTGTTTTACTGAGTGTGGACAGTATGAACATGGACCACGTGTCAGGTGTCCTGAGTTCATGCATGACCGGCAGAGGACATTTTTTTTAAACCACAGCAATGACGTACCAAACGACTGGATCTGGTTTCATTGGTGGTTGGCGGTGTGGAAATGGTCTAGATCTCTGTCAACAGATTTGTAGGACATCAAAGCTTTAAAAGACAACATGAAGTTAAAACTAACCGTATTTATTGTCTATATAAAAAGGTTTTGCTCTTATTGCACTTAATTCATCAGTGCATGGCTAGCTTGAAAGCAGTGTGATACCAGCACACAATGCATTACAAATATAGTTTGGAAATCTTTTAAAACTATTGGATAAAACTGGTTTTAGCCTATACAATATGTTTAATTAAATGAGAACAACTGAACATGGCATGCATGCGTTACGTGATACTAAACAAGAGAGTAAATCAACACTGCACGACAAACTCACTGAAGTCTATGGAATTAGGCCTATTTTGCATTCAAAATTCAACTAGTTGTGCATGCATATAATTAAAACTCTTACAAATTAAATGCATTCACTAGAAGTGATACTCCTCTCTGATGTCAGCTCATTAAAAAGAGTGTTTTCAATCTTGTGTGTCAAAACAGCAAGATCTCTTTCAAAACTGTATTACACTGATCAACACTGAAACATGCAGAACTACACTGGTTTTTCTATACAGTTCTCATTCTCTTTTTACACTGTAAAGTCACACAATTAAAATAAGTAGTTCAAATAGAGATCTAGACAATGATCATGACACCACACAATGATTTTGCCTCCAGGTTTGATACAAATTGCACATATGGTAAGTCTGTTATAGGCAGGATTCCCCCGTGCTTTTTGATAACAGAAAATGAACAAGTCTCATTTCCCCTATAAAAACTCCCTTCTCGATCTCATCCACAGTCGGTTAGAAGTCATACTCAGCCAACGTTTAAAGATTAACTACAATCACCAGTAAGAGCCTGTTAGAGAATTAAAGTTCAATCCAGGCCACATCAACGACTGAGGAAATTCCATCCCATAACCGACGGCCTTTCCACTGGATTTGAATATTGCAGAGTCTGTGTAAGAAACAAAGAACGACCCATACAAAACATCCACGGCAATCTATGAAAAAATATGTACGGGTCATATTTCACTTCAATACAAGAGGACAAATTAGGTATACTTATAGAATATTGTACAACCGTTATGCACTGAGACGTTATTTTACATGACATTTTGCCTCCAAAATCATGCATCTGGACATTTTACTTTTGGTAGCTTTGCTTTAGCTCAAACTGTAAAGCATGGTGCCATCAACACCAAGGTCATGGTCATGAACTGAACAATTTGGTAACGCTTCCTTTTACAGTACAGTACTTACGTGTACTTGCCTAGAAAGTACTGGCTAATATAAGGTAAGTACATGGGTTAGGGGTAGGTTCAGGGTTAGTACCTAGTTATTACCCAGTTATTGTAATTACTATAGTAAGTACATAGTATGTACATGGGTAACAGGACTGTAAAAGGAAGCGTTACCAAAAATTGTATGTATGCATGAATTGAAAAAAGAGAACTGAGTCAAATGTGAAGAGAATTAGACCGGTAATGAGAACTGTGAGTCAAATGTGTATAATGCAAAACAAAACTGGTTGATATGTTGACCAGAACCTTTTCTGGACAGTTTTCCTGAGAATAAGCAATTTACATAGCATGACCGCTGTTTATGAATAATCAGATTACTGAACAGGTTCTCAGAAACACAACAAAAAGACCAGCATGACGACTGAACTAATCAGAAATAATTATCGCTCACATGCATCTCTACACCTGTTCAGAAAACTTCCTAACCACAACAAGGTTCCTCAGATCATGTTGCGATCTCTAACCACTGTTGCACCAGCATGTTATCATGCATCTGTAAAAAACAAAATATAGAACAAAAGGTTCATCACATGCTTTGATAAGCTCACCATTTTGCTTCAACCAATAATAAACCAAAACATATTCTTTCGTCACTGTTGGAAACCACTAGGTTGGTTTAACCTAATAGGTGGTGGTGTGACCTAGTGGTTACCTAAAAGTTGAAGGTTCAAACTGCTCCACAAGGGTTGATCCATTAATTATTGCCATTGTGAACTTGATCATGACATAAGCTGGGAAGTAGAAACATAACAAACATGACCTTGACACCTAAGCTTAACAACCTCTCAAACTTATTATATACACAGTGCCCTTACACATTTGCACTGATATATAAAAATGCTGATGGACATGAAAACTTCATGGACATTACCACCCACATTTACAAATTAAAACAATTTAAAGGGATAGTTCACACAAACATGGAAATTCTGTCATCTTTTACTCGCCCTCATGTTGTTCCAAACCTGTATGAGTTTTGTTCTGTCGAACACAAAGAAATATATTCTGAAGAATGTTGGTAAACAAACAAACAGTTGATGGGCCTCATTGACTTCCATAATATTTTTTTCCAACTATGGAAGTCAATGGGCGGGGTACACCACCAACTGTCTGGTTACCAACAATCTTTAAAATATCATCTTTTGTGTTCAACAGAACAAAACTCGTACAGGTTTGGAACAACATGAGGGTGAGTAAAAGATGACAGAATGTTCATGTTTGGGTGAACTATCCCTTTAAGTATGTCATATCAACTACCAATAACTGTTAATGTAACTTACCTCCAAAGAGATGAGGCGACAGGTGAGCAGGTAAAGATCCAATCAACAGTCTCGGGGTGCCGGTTGACCGCTCTCTCTCCCCGCCGTTCTCCTCCGGTGTGCTGTTACCGGACTCTTGAGAGCTATACGCCCCGGAGTTCGGTATATTAATGCCCGACTGGGGTCGCACGCCCGGGCCACCGGTGCCACCCCCCACGGAGCGCGTCCTGGTATAGTGAGAAGCCACTGCCGCTGATGATGATGATGATGATGAAGTAGCACCTGATGTGCTGTGCGGGTGATATCTCATCGCAGCCGTTCTGCCGCTAACGTTACTCGACGGGAGATCCGAGCCCGAGTACGCTCGCGTGCGCCCGTTGGCAGCGGGACTGCTCTGTTTGGCGCCCATGCCAACCTACACTTCCCTCCGATTTTAATTATTAAAGACAAACAAACAAACTCGCCTGTTACATTTGACTCGTCCAACGTCACGCGCGCGTCAGCGAAACTTTTACAAAGGCTTTTAAATCGCTGTCAGTGTGAAGTTGCGGGTGCCCGCGCTTGTTTTTGCCTCATGCGCTGTTGTTTTCTAACTAGCGTCCTCTGTTCCATGTTGTGCGTGAGACAGTAACGCTCAGACGCGACGCTTTCCTCCTAAACGCCGCGCCGATCGCTGTTGTGTTCGCGGCGGGCGGTTATTACACAAACTGAACGTGTTTAACTGCCGTGCGTGCAGAGTGCGTAAGCGAGCCGGGGGCGGGGCTTGCCGACCGACGTCATAATCTCGGGAAATAAACCCTAGCTGGGCGCTCCCTCAATATAGTCTGGAAAAAAGATTGGTTGTTGCCACATACATATTTTATTCCAAACAAGACTAAAGAAGTCCACTTTAAACTATTGTACAATATATACCCTGTAAATTTGACTTTCTAAATCTGTAGCCAGACCCTTTGTAGTGAGGATGAAACATGCAAATGAATCATTCTATGCATTTATTATTTTCTTGTGAATTAATTCAGAACGTTTGGTCCAATTATTTTTCTCCTATTTAGTTAGACCCCCTATTTTTGCCCAAATGTTTCGTTTAAAATGCATTATTTGCTACAATAGGCCTTTCCAACAAGTCCAATGTAGCTTAATATCACAACATTCACATTAGCCTATTATTGTGTACAGGCTCACATGAGACTGATTAACACACACACGCACTGTTATTGTTTTTGAATGTGTATGATTATCTGCCTAATTCTTATATCCTCCAGAATTCTGCATGCAGATATTCTTGTGTTGTTTGTCCCATCTGGAGACGTTTACATGACAGAGTGGACAAGGAACCTCGCCTCACGTCTATAAAGAGCAACAGGCAATAACCCTGTGCATTCATGCCAAAACAGCTCACTGGAAACACACTTGAGTGAATCCGAAAACATTCCCACAGTGAATTGTACTCTAAAGTATTGAAAAGTAAACTTCTGCTTTAGAAACAGTCTGACAAAGTAAACAGACTAGGGGAGGTTTTCTCATTAAAGTACAACAAATTTGAGTTTTTGTTTATAGACTGATCACTGACCATGGTCGCACTCAAGTTCGTCCATCTTTAGGGATGATTGTATCTGAAATGTTTTGCTTGCGTGAGGTCAGTGCGATTATGAGACTCTTTGCAAGGATGAATGGCCATTGTGGAGACCAATTACATTTTACATTAAAACTGTAAAAGTAACATTCATTTGATTAGGTTGTTGGCTCAGTAGATTCACAAGGGTTTTATAACATCTTCTGAAAAAGAAAGTCATGTCAGAGGCATGTTATTGCATTGTCAAGTTATTGCATTTTGATGAAAGATTACAAAGATAACCTTTCTTTGGAACATCATGTACAGATGAAGCATTCACAATAAAGCCGAGTTGGAAATATACGGCACAGATTTCTGAGTTGGCAACTGTTGTGTGAAAACTGTTGTGTGAGAGCTGCAAAGAGGAGAAATGAGAAGTGAAGAACTCATGCATGAATTTGCACAAACATTCACACTAACAAATGAACACTCAGAGAAAAACTCTTACACAGCATCAGAATCAGCCAGAATTGCAGATCAACAGTGATATCCAGAATGCATTAGACGGTCTATGCGAGGTCAAGGGTCAAGACTGACATTCGAAGAACTTTAGCTAACATTCTGGCAAGGTTTTCTCAACACATTCTTTCAGAAAGTTATCTGTTCTTTAATAATGCTCTGAAAAATTAGCACAAAAACATTATTTATACATCATGCTTTTTTTTTCTGAAACATTTCAGTGTTCATCTAACGTTATTTAAATGTTACTACTTGTTTCAGAATGTTCAGAAAACATTAAAAAGTAACATTTTCATTATGTTTGAAGAATAATGTTTCCTTAGCGTTCACGAAAAAAAAAAGAAGAGTTTTTTAAACATGAAAAAATGTACTTTTTGAGTGTTCTCTGACCATGGGGACTTTATCAGAACATATTTTTGTTAGCTGGGGAGAGATCCCCGTGTGAAGATGTCAATGCAAATAGAAGATTTTATAGAAGATGTCAATGCAAAACTCATTTAAACCCAGTCATGGACAGAACGGTCACTTCTTACAGCTGTCACAGTATAACATCTTTAATCTGTACAGTATTCATTGGTGTATCTATTTTGTTTCTTGCACAAAGAGACTTCCTGGGGAAAAGCACACAACACTCACTGACACTGTCACCGAACATGTGACATAAATGGGCGAACTTTCAACTTTGCATTCCTGCAGGAAAATGTGGAGGAATTTCCTGAAATGTCAGCTGTTCAAAACAGAAAAAGAGAAATTGATCACAATAACAAAATGCATTTCCAAAATGGCTATCTCAGTTTAAAAACACTGAAGATAATGCATACAACTGTTTCTGTGGTGGACCTTTACAAACTATTTTCATACGCTATTCATGAATTAAATAAAGGGTAGATTGTACTTGATTTATAATTTTTTACTTCACTTGATACTGCATTTCAATGTAAGATGTAATGTATCAGAAGTGTTTGAGAGACAGACTGTTTGACCTAAAGCTACTGCTGAAATGAAAGCAATGCATTTAATGAAAGCCATCGACTGTTAAGTTAACAGTCCTTCTTAAAACAACTGCTGCATGCTTCATTTAAAGTTTAACAGTTTAAACAAGATTCAGGATAGAAGTTTCAGTTGGCAAAAAAAGTTATATATTATATTTGTGTATACTCAAAATTTGAGTAACATTTTGAAACAGTAGGCCTACCCAGCTCATCATTTGTCTGAACAGTTTAAACCCCTGGAAATAATAATGGGCTAATAAATCAAAACTTGAGTCATTATTGAACTTGTATTAACTTAAATTTATGCATTATATTAAACATAACTCACGTTATATTTCAAAATAAAAACCAAAGAACACAACTTCAAGGAATCAGATGAAATATGAGACAATATTGCCGCCTGCTGTCTAATAGTAGAACTGCAAAACAAACTCGTTTAAAGGGATAGTTCATCCAAAAATAGAAATTATGTAAATATGTACTCACCTTCATTAGTTACAAACCTGAATCAGTACAATAAATACAAAAAATAAATACAAATAATGACAGGGAAGGTAACGGACATTATAAATCGTTTTGCGATTGTTGCTGCACATATTGTTATGTAATTAATTATTGTTTGTTGCTTTGCAGTGTTTGGCTGATTTTATTATTTGCTTTATATTTAATTGAGAGTAAATGTAGGAGGGGGAACAAAGATAAATTACCCTTATTCCCTGTAAAGAGAGCTATAAAGAGCAGCAGGAAGTCAAGAAGTGAAAGTGAACATGAAAAATAGTGTTTCGGTTCAACCTCTTACAGTTTGTCCTTCAAACTATTTGAAAATTTCATTTTACAATATTTCATCCATCAGTTACCAATGGTGACTGAATACTGATTTATAAACAATGTTCTCTGAATTTCGATGTGTAAGGACAGAAATATACGATAATTTAAGTATGAAAAGACAAATTATAAAAGTATGAAAAGTGTTATTTTAGCACCATTGAGATACAATTGTAGTTTCTATTCATATTTTGAATTAATTTTATTTTTATATTTTCAATTTAATTTTAGTTTTTGTATATTTTGTATATTGTATATAGTTTTTGTATGCCTAATTTTGGCAAGTGGCTGAAATAAGCCAATCAGAAGTAGGGGGCGTGTCCACTCGTGATGGGGGAGGAGAGAAAGTGAGCCAATCAGCAGTAAGGGGGGTGTCCACTCATGATGGGGAGGAGAGAGTGAGCCAATCAGCAGTAGGGGGCGTGTCCACTCATGATGGGGGAGGAGAGAGTGAGCCAATCAGCAGTAAGGGGCGTGTCCACTCATGATGGGGGACGAGAGAGAGTGAATGAGAGCAAGAGGGAGATTTGAAGAAAGAGTGTAGAAAGAGAGATGGCTGAGAGACATTACAAAAGAGAAAAGGTCAGAAGAATATCACTGGAAAAAGAAGGGTTATGATCAGACAAGAGCTTCAGGACCAGAGTTAATAGAAAATCTTGCAGCGCTGGAGAGACCCAAGCGGGAAGGCCTGAAAATGGACGCTGAGGTTGTGTTGCTCCATACGTGAGTTACATTGGTTTTTTGAGTGTGTGCGGCTGGAGAGTGGCGACTAACAACAAACTCTTGCTTGTATATTTACTCGTGTACTGTATGATTATGTTTTATTCTTCCTTGTCTTTGTTCGTCATCTTCGCTTTATTTTTCACAAATAATATAAAAAATATCATGAAAAAGAGACATTTAGGGGGCAGAACAGTGAAGGGAGGGGTGTGGGTGTGTTTATTTGGATTGATTTCAAATATCAGCAGTGTTCAACAATGATTCTCAGAAATCACTTACTGTGCCTTTAAGAGCATTTTGATGTGCACACAATAATCCTCTCACGTCCCTTCTGAGGATTTCAGGTATTCTTTGAGACGTAGGCTAGCAGAACACAAATAGAGTTATGTTCTAGACAGGTTCCCCTGAGCGGTCTGGATCACCGCAGGCCCTCAGCTGTGCTTCAACACAGACAGATTGAACAGCCCATCAAATGATGAGATCTGCCTGTAGGATACGAGCAACAGCGGGTGGATCAGATAAAAGCAGCCGCTGTGAGTGATGCTGGACATCCCCAGGACACCAGCGGCTGTAATCGAGAGAAACAGGGATGCCGGGAAGAGACGGTTCCGTCGGAGAAGATGAAGATACGGCACCCCGGTGGAGACAAACTCAGCTAATCAATCAACTCACCATGGGAAACAACAACAGACAGCTGCTGCTCACAAGAACCAATCGCTTCTGTAATACCTGTGTGTGGAATTCCTATTAAAACTCTCATGGATCCGTTTTCCCCTTACATCAAATATTAATGTGATCTACCCTTCATCAATGCTGTTTATAACTTCAAGCTTTCAGGCGAGACTTTGTAAAGCCAAAAATGGCGTATAATAATGACCAGGGGCGTTGCTAGGGTCTTGATACATTGGGGGCTTACCCAGACCCCACCACCCACCCACCCCCGCTTTTGGTAACTACTACTTCTACTCAGAGGCACATAATAATAAGCAATAATAATACAAATGGGGGGTCTGGGGGACCTCCCCCAGGAAACATTGGGCATTAAACACTTAATTTCCTGCATTCAGGTGCATTTTTTGTAGCTAATTTAATTGATAGGTAAAAAGATAGAATGCTTTATT